TTTAAACAAAAATTATTGTTTAATTTTTGAGAGACTAGAGGAAGGGAAGTATTATGACCTAATATCCTCATCTGTCATAATAGAAAGTCTGTGTAACAGAAGTGAACGTCTGAACGTGTTCCTATCCAAAGGCGTTTCCTCCCCTGTGTACCCAAGCCCATCTCCCTGTTTCCTATATCATCACATTTTGCATTCCAGCAGAATCTTTCCCATCAACAAACAAATATGCGTTTAATTCTTCTATCTTAACACACACACACACACACACACACACATGCACACACACACGCGCACACACACACACCCTACACTTATGCCAGGTGCCCTGCCACTGCCATTCCATTTCTTTGCCTCCCTTTACTTAAAAGCTCATTTTCTGTACTCCTGTCTCCAGTTCCACTCCCTCTATTTTTTCTTACATTCACTCCATTCAGAATTTCACAACTACCATTCTACTTAATTTGCTCTTGTCAAGGTCACAGTGACCTTCACATTGCTTAGCCAATGGTGAGTTATCATCTTGTCTCCCAGCCTCTTTTGATACAATCGATTACTCCCTCCTTGATATGTTTCCTTCACCTGGCTTCTAGACACCACTTTTTAAATTTTTCCTTCTGTGTCATTGGTGGCCTCTTCTCAGTCTTCTTTGCTGATTCTTCCTTTTCTCCCTGACCTCTTAATGTTAGAATGCCCCCATATCTCAGTCTTAAGTCCTCTGCTCTTCTCTCTCTACCCTGAGCACCTGAGTTATCTCATCAGGTATCAAGTTTTAAATACCATCTATAAGTTGATGATTCTCAAATTTATAGATCCCAGCCCAGACCTCTTCCATGAACCCTAGATTTGTATATCTAACTGGCTACTTGACATTTTCATTTATTGTCTAATAGATATCTGAAGCTTAACATTTCTGAAATTGAACCCCTGAATATCTGCTATATCCAGGACCTTTCCCAACTGAGTTGATGGCAGCTTCATATTTCCAGTTGGTAGTTGCTTAGGCCAAAAGCCTTGGAGTCATCCTTGACTCCCCTTTGCTCTCTCACATTCCACATCCAGTCTGTTAGGAAATCTAGACATGATTAGGAAAAGAAAATCCACAAACGTACCACTTCTCACCACCTCCACCACTGCCTCCTTGTCATCCTGTCTTGTCTGGATTACTGCTGTTGCCTCCGCACTTCTGTCCTTGGCCCTTTACAGTCTAAACAGAGCAATTAGGGTGACCCTTTTAAAATCTAAGCCCCATCATGGTACTTAGTAGCCTCCCATTTCACTACACTGGACAAATTAATTTCTCTGTGCCTCAGTTGCTTCATCTGTAAAAAGAGAATAATACCTCCCTCAGGAGATTGTGGGATTCGATAAGGTGATAAATGTGAAACGCATGCTCAACACTAACCTGGTGCAGAGAAAATAATAAAGTTTAGCTGCTGTTCGTATTATTTTTATTGCCAATGCACCCTCTAAATCAGAAGCCTACTTTTGTTGTTCTTCAGTGCTTGAGGTGGGAGGGCTCTGTAGGAGCATTTGGATTCTGACTGCCTAGCTCATTTCTGTCTAGCAAAATCCTCAGTTCATTAGTACCAGAGATTAGTATGTCCAGAAACACTGTTCCTTTAGCCAGAGGAAATTCCACTCCTAACTTTGCCGTACTTGGTTTCCTGCACTAAATAGGAACTGCTTTGTCAGTAGAAAGCGTTCTTTTTGTCAGTACTGTAGTTGCTAAATTTTGAAGCACTTTTTCCCTAAAGGATAATGAGAGGAGACAGCTTCCCACTTATTTTTTTTTTTTGCGGTACGTGGGCCTCTCACTGTTGTGGCCTCTCCCGTGGTGGAGCACAGGCTCTGGTTGCGCAGGCTCAGCGGCCATGGCTCACAGGCCCAGCCGCTCCGCGGCATATGGGATCTTCCTGGACCGGGGCACGAACCTGCGTCCCCTGCATCGGCAGGCAGACTCTCAACCACTGCACCACCCGGGAAGCCCCCGACTTATTTTTTGATTGAGCCTTTTGTCTGATGTCTTATCCTGAACCCCCCCTTTTTTTTTTATTACATTTGTAACATCACATATTTAAGGTTTTGGTTTTTCCCCCCTTTCATGTAAGCCTTACCTCTCTGGAACTGTTGATTTCTGGAAGACACTTATAATATTTAATGTTCCCACTCGTATTTTCTGTCATGCCTTACAACAAACCAAAAAGAGAAGGGAAAATTTAACAGTTAGATTTGCTAATAGTAGTAAAATGCAAAGAGCGTGGTATAATGGGAGAGTGCTGAGCCAGGGCCTTCTGAGCCTCACTCTGCCACTCACTAGCTGTATGACCCCGTGGGCTTGCGTTGAACCTTCTGCTTGAATTCTAGCAGAAGAGGCTAGCTAAGAGAGAGGAGAGTTGGTTTCTGAGAGGATGTGAGGAATGTAAGAAAAGTTTCTTAGGGACCAAACCCACTAACACTGGAAGAAGCACTGGGGCAAACAAACTTGTTCTGGTTCGGTAAAGGAGCCAAGGCACAGGACCCTAGGCCTGAGCAGCTTATGCTTAGAGACTTGGAGGATGGGGGTTGGGACTCAGTTCCCTGAATAGAGGGAGAAGGAAAGACACTTGAGAATCTGGTAAAAAGCAAAAACAAAAAACCTATTCTAATGGCTTGAGCCCCTGCTTTGGATATAGTGTCTGCTTGTCCCACAGATAGTAGAGACAGGCACAGTGGAAGTCAGTGTTAACATGATACACACACACTTCCTACATCAGAAAGCTGGAACAGGAATACAGTGTTATATGTCAATTATATCTCAGTAAAACTGGGGGGAAATGAAGAAAGCTGGAACACTCTCTGGACTGTGGTGCTGGGGTAAAGCAAACAGGATTCTGACATGCAGCTTCTTCAGGGAGCAGTTAGGCCAACCCTCCAGTGACCTGGGACTCTTTGAGGGTATGAAGGTTTCAAGGCACTCCTAACAGCTGCATTGTTGTTATCCTGCACTCACCTCAGCTTCCAGCGTGATGCATATCTAAAGAAATATGCATAAGCCTCTTCGCTCTGCTTTAATTTAGCCTTCCTAGAACTGTAGCAGTGACCCTAAGGAATAGACCACGTTTTAGAAATTGCAGAGAAAGAGACAGGAAAACAGTACATTCATTCTCTCAATCTCAGAAGGAATACTGCTACTTTTAGAAGTGGATCAGTCATCTTATGACCAAGTAAAAATCCTTTAGGTCTGTAGGCTTTAGTATTCATCATTTAGAGGATTTCTTTGTGCTCTGAGGGGCTACCCAGTGACTCTCTTCCCAATGACAATCCATAGTTTCTTCCTGTAGTTTCTCGAGTCCAGCAGTTATCAAACTGTAGCTGATGGAGACTTTCTTCACTCTTGATTGACATGAATAGTTCCCAGTTTTTTTCTGTTGTTGACAGTGTTGAAACAAACATCTTTGCACTTAAAGTATGTGTGTATGTGTGTGTGAAAGAGAGAGCAAGACAGAGCGAGAGTAGTAAATTCCTAAGCTACTGGCTTGTTTTGTTATTGAAGTGTAACGTACGTAGAGAAAAGTATCCAAGTCATAGCTCAATAAATGATCACAAAATGAACACATCTTTATAATCGCTACCCATATCAAGACAGAAAACTACCAGCACGCTGGAAGCCTCTCTCATCCCCCTGCCAATCACCACCACCCTGCTCCTCCCCAGAGTAAACAGTATCCCGATTTCTAACATCAGAGTTGCTTTGCCTACTTTTGGGCTTTAAAAGTTTTAAATGGAGACATGTGTCAATAGTATATTATTTTTGGAGATCTGGCTTGTTTCTTCTCATCATTATGTGTTGGGATTCATCTACATTGTTGGTTTAGTAGCAGTTCATTTTTAAAATTGCAGTATGGTATGTCCTTATATCGATAAACACATTTATTTATTCGTTCTGACTGTACCGCTCTGCAGTGCCACCTTTGTCACAAACCAGTTATCTCTAAATGGGGGTCTGTTTCTGGACTCTTCATGTTGTTTCATTAATATATTTGTCTATCCTCGTGCCAAAACCTTACCGTCTTGATTATAGCTATGTTTTTTGTATGTATAGGTGTATAATATTCTATTATGATAGAATAAGTCCTTCCACTTTGTTCTTTTTAAGATTACCTTGATTATTCTTGGCCCTATGCATTTCCATAAAACTTTTACAATCAGCTTGAAATTATTCCTACCCCTATCCCTACCCCTACCCCTACCCCAAAAAAGCATGCTAGAATTTTTATTGGAAATCCTTTGAGGAGAATGGACAGCTTTACTATGTTGAATGTACAACCCCTGAAAGTGGTATGTCTCTCTATTTATTTGGTCTTTAATTTCTCTCAATAATATTTTATAGTTTTCTATGTAAACATCTTACACACCTTTTAAAAAACTATTTCCTAATTATTGCTGCTATTAGAAACATACTTTTATATGTTGAAAAGAGTAAGTTTTTAATTATAAGATTTTATAAGGTTAAAAGTATATATCATTTTAAGAACCACCTAATATTCAAATTATTATGGGAATATTGGGTACATTAAGAAAAGTAAAGCTGAATTAAATCCAGAGTTGTAAGGTTGGAGATGTCAGAAGGAAATCAGGAGGAGCCTATTCCTAAATTATGTGAATTCTGTGTTGGTTGCTGGAGAGAGAAGGCTTGGGCTTGCTTTCTCTCTCAGCTAAAATGATTGTAACTTGGAATGTTAGGATGCTTTTCTTTCTTCTTCAGAGACTCTACGCCCTCTCCCAGCCAGCCCACAAGTTGGGAGCACCCAGGCAAAAGTAGAGCAAGTGGGGTCAGAGTGAATAGGGATTTCACTCAGTCCTCAACTCAGGCTGCTTCTGAACTGACGGGCTTCCCTCCCGTTCTAAAACTTGCCAAAAATGAAGCAGTGAACCCATCCACTATCAGTCCTTGCAAGCATCCCAAAGTGATGATGACAATACCTGTTTCCTTAAACTCATGCTTGGCTTTGTTTTTCCAGGTCTATAAAGGAGAATTTCAGCTACCTGAATTTCTTAAAGGAAAACCTCAGGTACTGTGTCTGCTTCCTCCTCTTGATATACAATAATAGATGGGCTCTTGCATTGAAGTAATCTTTTCAAAGAGATAATGCTATGTGCTGGTGGTAGAAAGACTGGCTTCTGCAGGGATATCAGCTCGGTGCTTTGTGACCACCTAGAGGGGTGGGATAGAGAGGGTGGGAGGGAGACGCCAGAGGGAGGAGATGTGGGGATATATGTATATGTATAGCTGATTCACTTTGTTATAAAGCAGAAGCTAACACACCATTGTAAAGCAATTATACTCCAATAAAGATGTTAAAAAACAGAAAAAAGAAAGAAAGACTGGCTTCTGGTAATTGTTGGTTTTAACAGTCTGTGTTAAACAGATTTGTTAAATTTAACAATTTAACACAGTCTGAATTTCAGCGGGCTCAGTGTCTTCCAAGAGTAGGGAAATACTTTATTGATAACTAAAACCTGATTGCTTGAGGTCGCCCACAAGCCACACAGTATTCCACATATAAGGAGCCTGCCTTGGTGAATCTGCTCCAGGCTTCTGATACCTAACTTGAAATAAGAATGTATAGCCACCCTTTGTTCTTATTACATATACATCCATGGCCTTTTCATTTTTCTCATTTGGAGCCTAGAAGACTTGTGAATACATTATACACACAGCCATTGACCCTCAACTGCTAAGTCCCCCAAGTTGGGAATGGATGGTATGAGTTTGAAGTTTATAACTTTTACTTTTTAAAAAATTAATTAAAACAGATCCAGAGTTCTCCTTGTAATGTCACACTGTCGCTTACTTGGATTCCAATATTGTTTCTTGAGTTGAAGAGAAATAGGTGACGTTACGGCCGACAGGCCTAGAGTAGCCCAGAGTGTCCTGCGTGAGCGCATCACCTGCCATTCCTATGCAGTAGTGGGAAGAAATCAATGACTACAGCCTGAGTCCAGCAGAAGACTTCCCTGTCCAGCATGGTGATAATACATGTTGCCTCCAGGCTGCTGCTATCAGTGATTAGCTTGTTAATAGGAAATGAAGACCCAGCACTGAACTCAGTTTCTAAAAGTGTTCCAGATCTGGGTTGTTGAGGGGAACCTCACAGATTGTGTGAAGTCGTGTTGCCTAAAGCAAGCCTAGAGTACCTGGGCTTCTCTGTAAGAGCAGCTGTGTCTCACACCAGGATTGAAGGCTCTGTCTTCTCAGATCCTTGTCTCATAACAACCATCAATAACTGATACATATTACTTGAGTATTTTAAACTACTTTCATGGTATATGCTTATTAACATATTTAATTTTAACCCATCCATTCATTCATTTATTTAAAAATGTCCACTGAATTACTTTTATGTGTGAGAAATTGAAATAAGGCCTCAAGAGTCAGAGGAAAAAAAAAGATCTTCTCAGAGGAACTCCTTATCTATCCAAAAGACTCTGATCAGCTTTTGCAGACAAAGGGGCACAGGGGCCCTGAGCCTTGACTGGGCAAGATGTGCCAGAAACCTGGATGGATTCGTGAACAAGTTGTCACTCACTTACAGGCTATGGTAACTGGAGCCAGAGAATAATGCAAGAGGGAGAGTCTTGAAGAAATGTCAAATCCAAAGGCTGTTTTGCATAGCAAGTCTGAAGGAGTCAAGAAAGGGAATTTGAGACTAAAACTAAAGGGACACCCCTGCTTCACAGCATACATAAAAATCATTTCCAGGTTGGTTATAGGCCTAAATGTGAAAGGCAAAATAATAAAGTTTCTAGGAGGCAATAAAGGAGAATATCTTCATGACCTTAAGAGAGAGGGGTTTCTTAAGTGAGTTATAAAAAATACTGATCATTAATTTAATTTAATTAATTTATTTATTTAAACATCTTTATTGGAGTATAATTGCTTTACAATAGTGTGTTAGTTTCTGCTTTATAACAAAGTGAATCAGCTATACATATACATATATCCCCATTTCTCCTCCCTCTTGTGTCTCCACCCTCCCTATCCCACCCCTCTAGGTGGTCACAAAACACCGAGCTGATCTCCCTGTGTTATGCGGCTGCTTTCCACTAGCTATCTGTTTTACATTTGGTAGTGTATATATTAGTCCATGCCACTCTCTTACTTCGTCCCAGCTTACCCTTCCCCCTCCCCATGTCCTCAAGTCCATTCTCTACATCTGCATCATTATTCCTGTCCTGCCCCTAGGTTCTTCATAACCATTTTTTTTTTTTTTAGATTCCATATGTATGTGTTAGCATACGGTATTTGTTTTTCTCTTTCTGACTTACTTCACTCTGTATGACAGACTCTAGGTCCATGCACCTCACTACAAATAACTCAATTTTGTTTCTTTTTATGGATCATTAATTTTAAAATGGATAATTTGGGCTACATTAAAATTGAGAACATTTACTTATTAGAAAGCATCATAAAGACAGTAAAAAAGGACACCTTAAGGGGGGGAAATTTTTGAAACAAAAGATTCATCAGTATAGAGAATTCCTACAAATAAATAAGGAAAAGGTAATAAAAAATTGGGCAAAAGACTTAACATAGGCACTTCAAGCCCCGCTCTGGTTAGTTTCATTTAATGTATCACACACATACTAGAAAAAAGCCTATAAAAGGCTTTTATTTAATGTCTAATACATGAGAAAACTGAAGCACACAGAACTCTCAGGATTACATTTAGCTAGAATTCTGACAAAACTCAGGAAAGTGCTATACTTAAGATTATAGTCTTGGGAATTCCCTGGCGTCCAGTGGTTAGGACTCTGCACTTCCACTGCCGGGGGCCCGGATTCGATCACTGGTGGGGGAACTAAGATCCCGCAAGCCACACGGTGTGGCCAAAAAATATATATATATAGTTTTGTTATAAAGGAAACAATTCAAGACCAACCAAATGAAGAGACACATAGGACAAGGTCTGGGAGAGTCTCAGACTCAGAGTTTCTGTGCCCATTCCCTGTGGAATCAGTGTACTTCTCCCTCAGAGCACATCAGCATGATCACCAACCAGGGCGCTCCACTGAACTTCGGCATCCAGAGTTTTTACTGAAGTCTAAGTACATAGGCATGATTGATTGACTCATTGGCATGGAATTGAACTCAATCCCCAGTCATAGTCCCCTTCCCAGAAGCTGGGCTGGCTCAGAGCCCCAACCCTCAAATCACAGGTTGGTCTTCCTGGTGACCAGCCCTCATCCTGAGTCATCTCATCTCTTAGCAGAAACTCAGGTATGATCTAAGGGGCTCATGAATAACAAAGACACTCCTGTTACCTGGAAAATTCCAAGGATTTAGAGTCTCCCTACCAGGAACGAGAGCCAAAGGCCAGTCATCTTCTTTATTATACAACAGTAGCAGACGGAATTCATTAGAAAGTCTCTGATCACAGCCTGCAAGCTACACCTGATATTTTGACAAGAGCAGTCACTTCTCATGCTAACCAACGTTAAAACATCTTTTGCTTCCTTCCACAGACTGAGCAAGTGGAATAACAGAGCCAGGAACCTCTTGCATACTTGAGGTGAGGTTGGGGACATTGCTGGGTCTTTGGGTTTCACTGCTCAGGCTCTTGGGAGGCAGCACAGCAGGTGGAGGGCACAGCCCTGGGGTCAGTTCACCTGCTTTGGAATCTCGGCTCTGTGTGCCATTGAGCAAGTTACTTAACTTCTCTGTGTCTTAGTTTCTGCATCTGTAAAATGAGGACGATGTTAATAAGAGAGTGGTAGAATTAACCATGATAATGTCTGCCAGAAGCCTGGCACATAGTAAGCACTCAAACAGTGTTAGTTATTATTTTCAGTATGAGGAGGGGTTTAAAATGATAAAATATTTTAGCTGAAAGAAACCTGAAGACCATCAACCTCAACCACCTGTTTACTGATAAGGAAACTGATCCTAGAGAGAGGATTTGTCAAGTTCACATCATAGGTCGGAAAAACCCAAGGCTAAAGAGCACCGTCTCCTGACATCCAGCCGGGGATTCTTTCACCACCCTGTGCTGCTTCCTCTGCATGCTGGATGTGCAGATGTTTTTGCGCTAATATGTTCGGGAGTTGCCTGGTTGGTTTTTCAACCTTGCTGTTGCATTATGCTGTCTTAATGTTTGTAACCTATGTTGTGTCATCGTAGTTAAAGGCTACAGTGTGGAGCAGGACTTATCAGCCCTTTCTATCTGAGTAATCATCAGGTGCATGTCCAGGGATACCAGCCAATTAGTGGCAAAGCTGGTTTCTGAACCTAGACCTCCTGACATGGCTGCTCAGACCTCACACCCCTATCCCACACTTTCTTAAGATTCTGTTTTGCTCTGAATATTTTGGTTATGCCTTAGATCATTTGGAACTTGAAAAGCTTTCTTTAAAATATGATTTTTCCTGGGAATTCCCTAGCAGCCAAGGAGTTAGGGCTCCGTGCTTCCACTACAGGGGGCAGGGTTTGATCCCTGGTCGAGGAAGTAAGGTTCCACAGCCGTGCAGTGTGGGGAAAAAAATTAAATAAAGTAAAATAAAATAAAATACTAAAATAAATAAAAAGAAAACCTATTATAAAAAAGTAAAAAATAAAATCTGTTTTTTTCTTATAGTTTTGTTTGCTGTTTTATTTTTATTTTATATAATAACCATGTATTGAGTGTGTACTCCATACCAGGTGTAAAATACCAAGCATCATATATATATATAGTATATATATGATATAGGATATATTATATGATATCTATAATAAATATATATATTATTCATATATATACATATATGAATGATTTCATTCAAGTTTCAAACCACTCTGGCAAGTAGGTGATATTATTCCTCTTCTACTGTTGAGAAAATTGAGATTGAATAATTTGATTTGAATAAGGGGTTCTTATGACTTGCTGTGTGCTAATAGATTATAGATAGAAAAGACACATGAATGCTGCTATGCCAAGTCAAAATCACGGATGGCAGTGAGTTAATATTCATAGGTTTTAGGAATTATGATTGCCTTTTTTGCTAAGAAGCAAATGCTAAATGTAGACTTCAACTCGATGAGCATACAGGTATAACAGCCGTTATCAGGCCTTGGATAATTTTGTTTATTCAAAAATACTTTCAAAAGTATAGATAGTGCTTCCCTGGTGGCGCAGTGGTTGAGAGTCCGCCTGCCGATGCAGGGGACGTGGGTTCATGCCCCGGTCCGGGAGGATCCCGCATGCCGCAGAGCGGCTGGGCACGTGGGCCATGGCTGCTGGGCCTGCGCGTCCGGAGCCTGTGCTCCGCGACGGGAGAGGCCACAGCAGTGAGAGGCCCACGTACGGGAAAAAAAAAAAAAAAGTATAGATAAATTCCCTCCTGGAAACATGCATACAGGGATTCATTACTGACCAGCTGTTTTACAAGACAGAATGCAGTGTCAGTGGACTCCAGCCTTGAGTGGCCTCCACAGCAGCATTTCATCCTTGTTTGCTTATCGAGGCTTGTAGGTGCCCACGTGCAATGAGAGAAGGACTCGGGAGAAGCCAGGAAGACATCAAAGCATCTCAAGACAAATCATAGTCTTTCTCTTGTCTTTTGGATCCCTTTGGCATATGAACGACAGTCACTGTGTTTCCTAAAGCTTCCTTTAAAGAATCTCAGTATCCACTTTTTCATACTGAGTCAGCATGTTCGACCCCTGGACGTTTGACGTCCCTGTCAGTGCCCCTGCAGTAGCTTCAGTTGCAGATGACAGTTGCAGTCATTTAGAAATGGGCAGGAACAGCCCTTGCTTTGGCTGCCATCCTTTTGTGTTGCACATCGAAGCTACTGGCAGGCATCTAAAAGCATCCCAGACTGAGGGAGAGTGTGCCTCTCTGGTAGTCCTGAGGCAGCTGTTCTCATAATGGTCCATCCCCCTACCTGTCTACCTGGCTTGTGCCAGGCCCACAGCTGGAAAGGAGGCGGTGTCATGCAGGGGAGAACAAACTGACTGCATACCTGTAACACATTCTGTTTGTTTGCCCTAGGGAAGACTGCTGCCTTTTCAGCAGCAGAGAAGTTTCTAGGACTGGCTGTTTCTAGGAATGGCTGTCCCCTGCTGAGATCAGTGGAGTATAGGTACCATGGCCCGAATCTCCTTCTCATTTGCCAGTCGCTTCCCACTGAGAGGGTGGGATGTCAGCACACATTCGGACCCTCCTGAGTGACCTGCTTCTTCCCGAGTACAGTGCTCTTGATTACGTGCACGGCCCTGTGGAGAAGGAGCCCAGAGAGGATGTGTGCTTTCTCTTAAAACTGCTCTGGTCCTCATCTTTTCTTACCAGATTCCAAACTTTGTTTTCAAGGGGAGGGTTTAAAGATGGGATTCTGTAAGCAAAATTGGGTAGTTTCATCTTGGAATAGGTTGTCTGTACATGTTCTAATGTTTTGTAGAACACTTGTACCTGTTTAAATGTATTGATGTGGATAATATTAAATATCTTAATTATTTAAATAATTCATTGTATTGTTTCTGAGAAGTTGAGGAATTACCACATACATTTACAACTTGATGACTTTTGTATTTTATTTTTCAAAATAAAAGCTTTAAATGTGAAGCACTGGTAGTTTACATGTTTTCATTACTGTGATTTCTGAGAAGCAATAAGACCTATCAGATAATTATCTGATAAACAGTTTCTTCAGTTGCTGTATTTTAGATATTCCCCTCTATACATCATAATTTCTTAGTGAAGTTTTTGCTATAATTTATTTCAGAGAGACCTGCTACCATCCTTTTGTCTCAGAATCCTGTTCTTCTCTTTCCTTCTCAATTCTCTGGTCTCCATAAATTCTAATTCCTCAGAAAGACTTTCCCTGATCCCCTTCCTGCCTGCCTTATTCACAATATCACCTTATCACACTTTGCAGTTTTTAATGTTTCTTAACTTCTTAAATTGTCTATCTCTTATACTAGATGGTAAGTTCCTGGAAGACAGAGACTGTGTCTTTTCTTGTCCATTTTTGTACCCCTGACACCTAGCAGAATGTCTGGCACATTGTAAGAACCTAGTAAAATATTTAGTAAATGATTAATCCTCCCAGACAGAAACTTCTAACATATCATTTTCAGATGAAGAAACAGAGGCTCAGCCAGGTCAAGCCACGTACACAAGGCCCCTCAGCTACTGCCACAGTGGTGACCTGGTATCTAAGCCTGACTCTAGTATCCTTCTTTCCGCTCCACGCCCCTAGCCGTGTTCCCTTCAACTGAAAATTAATACTGCTGCCACATCAATCCTTTGTTCAGCACTGTGTCTTAAGTCACTCTTTTGTTCAAAAACCTTCTTTGATTCTCCGATGCCTCACACGTTACATGTAAACTGTTCTGTCTCTGCAATGTAGCCTCACCACCCCCTTGTGAACAGTACACCTCTTCCCTGTCTCCTTACACTCTGCTTTCTGCTTCTTCCAGATGCCCAGAAACCTAATCCCTCTCCCCTCTCCCTGGGAAATCCCAGCCCTGTTAAGGGCTCAGCTGTTGTAAGTCCCATTTCTTGTTACTGCTCTAGTTACTGCTCCAGCCTCCAGATAGCAATAAAATCAGCTTCAGCATAACATAATTTGTTCTTGGTTTTGGTTTTTTGCTTATTTCCTGTGTTAGTCTTATGTTACCAGCATTGTAGGGAGGAGGTCACATATCCCTCTAGAGCCTATCAGAATGGGAGGCGAGGACATTTCTAAACTATAACCCATCCTGACTCCAATACTCGCCCCTAGGTGAACATAAGAATTTTTATTCCCTACGCCTGCCCACCCCTGGAGACTCCACTGTCATGAGTGGGAATGTATTGGAATAGGAAAAGGGCAGAGAACCACCGCACAAAAACAGCTGACTCGGGAAAGAAGAAACCACTGCACAACTGGCCCGGAGAAGCAGATGCTGTGATATCTCCCTCCCTGTTGACATTCCCTCCTTCACAAAGCCTTCTTTCTGGTCTGAGCACATTTCTCTTGAGCCCTGCGAAGCAAAGCATTTCTGTTCCATGTGACACCTTAGAAGACCTGTAGGAAGATGACTATATTTGTGAGATGTTGTGATTTGATGGAATCAAATGGAATTCCTGCCAAACAAATGAAGGATGCCTGGAGTAAAATTTAAAAATTGGTAACTGGGGGACTTCCCTGGTGGTCCAGTGGTTAAGAATCCGCCTTCCAATGCAGGGGACGCAGGTTCGATCCCTGGTTGGGGAACTAAGATCCCACGTGCCGCGGGGCAACTAAGCCCGCGCGCCACAACTACTGAGCCTGCCCAGTCTGGAGCCCACGTGCCGCAAGGAAGGGCCCACGCACTGCAGATCCCAAGTGCCGCAGCTAAGACCCAACGCAGCCAAAAATAAAATAAATAAATATTTTTTTAATTAAATAAAAATTGATAACGGAGTAAGGGACCAGGGTAGATGTGTTGCCTGTGAAGATCAGAGAGCTGCCCAGGGCCAGCACAGCCATGGCTGTAGCCAGCGGGTGAGCCTGTGGAGCCAGGGAGAGGCTGGCGTCCTCAGTGGCTGCAGGAGGAGGCTAGAGAGAGCATCATCCATGAAGAATCAGAGAATTTTTAAATGAGAGAAAAAAATCTTAGTAATCACTTAGCCACGTAATCCTTCTAGAAACGTTTATCAACAGCTTCTCATTGTCTAGATCCTGTGCCTGAGTTTACATGTTTAAACTCATTTAATTCTCAAAATCACCGTCTGAGGTAGGTACTGTCACTACCTGCATTTTATAGACATTGGCTTGGGAGGCAGTACCAGCTTTCTAGACCAGCTAGTAAGTGACGGGATCAGAATACAAATACAGGCAACCTGGCTCCAGAGCCTACACCCTTAACCACCATTCTACCTCTCAGTAATCATCTTTATACTAGAATAAAAACTTGTCATTAGCATTGAGTGACAACTATTTAAATACCTCCCTTATACTTAGTAATTTGCTAGGTATAATTGTTGTGCTAAGAAGTATAGGCAGATTGCTGCCCTTGGGAATTTATGGTCTTGGTGAAAATCAAGAAAAATGTACAGAAAACAATTATTTCAAGCTTATCTAACAAAACCTATAGTATTACCTACGACAACCTGGCTTAGTAGGTGATGGGTAAGTAATAGTCTAGGCAGGACTCCATTCAGTGTTGCCCCAAAATTTGTTTTTCTAGGGAGCTACTGATCCTGGGGGCTGTCTGAGCTTTTCTCTGGCAAGGTCAGTATTTTCAGCATTGAGTTCCCTTTCCTGATTGTTTGTCACTATCCAACAGTCTTCTGCAGGGAATTTAGGCCTTTGCATAAAGCAGAGCAGTCACTTTGTTATTCTGAGCAAAAGATCATTTTTATTCATTTTGGGTCTAAGTCCTAACAAAGCTCATCATTTGAGGGTTTTTTGGGGGGGTGAGGGTGATTCTGGCTAGACAGAAAAATAAATACTTTGATTCTCCCTTTGGAGTTTGCTGATTATCACTGAACATCCAAAATTGAATCATTCTTCACAATAAAACCACTATTTTTGTTGTTGTATACTGTAGAAATGGCTGTGGCCTTGCCCTGAGAAGGAAAGCCTTAAATGCCCTCTGTTGGTCAAACATGGAATAACTGCTGAACGTATGAAAAAGTGTTAAAAGTTACAAGAATTAGGGAAATATAATTAGGGAAATTAGGGAAATATATCACAAAGGTGTGCAAAGCTTTCTCTACAAAGATGTCCATTGCAATGAAGTTTATAGAAACAAAAAACTGGAAAAAAAACTTAACAAAAGGGGGGGGCTTAGTTAAATGAATTATGGTACATCCACGTAACAGAATACTCTTCAGCTAATATAATATTGTAGAAAAATATTTCATAACAGGAAAAATGTTCATGTTACATTAAGTGAAAATTTGAAATCACAAAGCTGTTTAGTGTGCTCCCACTTTTATGATTGAAAGGGTAGACCGAAAACTAGAGTCACTAAATTGATAGAAAACAGAAAGGACATGTGCCAGTGTCCCTTGTTATCTCTTCATGTTGGAGTTTTGGGGAATTCTTATTTTCTTTGTGCTCAACTCTGTTTTCTAGATTTGACATGAATTACTTTAAGTAAAAAAGTGAAAAACAATGAGAGTTTTTTAGAAAAGAGAAATCGAAATTGAACCGGCCTAATCTTAGAGATAAAATCGGGGGTCTAGAGTAGTGCTGTAACTTAGCCAAGCCTA